GGGTGATAAATATGCTAACAAAGATGAGGACAATAGTCCGAATAATGTAAATAGTGTACATAATACTTCATCTCAGAAATATAGACAGATACTGAAGGGTGATAAATATGGCAACAAAGATGAGGACAATAGTCCGAATAATGTAAATAGTGTACATAATGCCCCATCTCAGAAATATAGACAGATACTGAAGATAAATATGGCGACAAAGATGAGGACAATAGTCCGATAATGTAAATAGTGTACATAATAACATCTCAAGATAAAGGGTGATAAATATGGCAACAAAGATACAATAGTCCGAATAATGTAAATAGTGTACATAATACCTCATCTCAGAAATATAGACAGATACTGAAGGGTGATAAATATGGCAAACAAAGATGAGGACAATAGTCCGAATAATGTAAATAGACATAATATGAAGGGTGACCAAAGATGAGGACAATAGTCCGAATAATGTAAATAGTGTACATAATGCCTCATCACAGAAATATAGACAGATAATGAAAGGTGATAAATATGGCGACAAAGATGAGGACAATAGTCCGAATAATGTAGATAATGTACATAATACCTCATCTCAGAAATATAAACAGATACTGAACGGTGGTAAATATGGCAACAAAGATGAGGACAATAGTCCGAATAATGTAAATAATGTACATAATACCTCATCTCAGAAATATAAACAGATACTGAAGGGTGATAAATATGGCAACAAAGATGAGGACAATAGTCCGAATAATGTAAATAGTGTACATAATACCTCATCTCAGAAATATAAACAGATACTGAAGGGTGATAAATATGCTAACAAAGATGAGGACAATAGTCCGAATAATGTAAATAGTGTACATAATACTTCATCTCAGAAATATAGACAGATACTGAAGGGTGATAAATATGGCAACAAAGATGAGGACAATAGTCCGAATAATGTAAATAGTGTACATAATGCCCCATCTCAGAAATATAGACAGATACTGAAAGGTGATAAATATGGCGACAAAGATGAGGACAATAGTCCGATAATGTAAATAGTGTACATAATACCTCATCTCAGAAATATAATAAGGGTGATAAATATGGCAACAAAGATGAGGACAATAGTCCGAATAATGTAAATAATGTACATAATACCTCATCTCAGAAATATAGACAGATACTGAACGGTGATAAATATGGCAACAAAGATGAGGACAATAGTCCGAATAATGTAAATAGTGTACATAATACCTCATCTCAGAAATATAGACAGATACTGAAGGGTGATAAATATGGCAACAAAGATGAGGACAATAGTCCGAATAATGTAAATAGTGTACATAATACCTCATCTCAGAAATATAGACAGATACTGAAGGGTGATAAATATGGCAATAGTCAAATAATGTAAATGTGTACATAATACCTCATCTCAGAAATATAGACAATAATGAAAGGTCCGACAAAGATGAGGACAATAGTCCGAAAATGTAGATAATGTACATAATACCTCATCTCAGAAATATAAACAGATACTGAACGGTGGTAAATATGGCAACAAAGATGAGGACAATAGTCCGAAATAATGTCATCTCAAAATATAAACAGATACTGAACGGTGATAAATATACCTCAATCGTCCAATAATGAAATATAGACATCTCAAATATAGACAGATACTGAAGGGTGATAAATATGGCAACAAAGATGAGGACAATAGTCAGAATAATGTAAATAGTGTACATAATACCTCATCTCAGAAATATAGACAGATAATGCAGAATGCCGTCATGAAAATGCAATGGACTGTTGTTGACTCTGTCATAAATTTCCAGTAGCGCTTTCTGTAGCATGTCCGTGATGCGTAGCCCTCTTCATCCGCTGATTCAACCATTAAGATATTGTTCCACCTTTGGGGTCTTTGCGGTCGGTTATGCTTTATCTGGGCCCTAGATTTCGACATTGCCGCCATGAGTGGCCCTACCAGACGTTTAGAACCCGTGACCTCATAGCCATTGGACCAAACAAGCCTCTCCATCACGACACGTAGTGACCATCAGACATAAAGAAAACGAAATGTGTCTAGAGGTTTGGAGAATGTGACACACGCAAGGCCTATTGAATGAAAGGGGAAAGATTGAGTAGCCTACCAAAAGAGTTTGTGCAAATGAATATCAGAACAGGGAATGGGGGCAATAACAAGGAAATAAATTTTGCTAATTTGCTGGTCATGGCTCTACACAACTTCCTAACTTTTGTAGCTTTAGCTACAAAAGTTGGGAAGTTGTGTAAAGCCATGACCGGCGATGTCTTGAAGGAATATGGTACATTAATAATAAAAATGGAATCGGTGATTGGAGTTCAAATTCTAGCGAAATCTGTCATGTCCACTACACTAATGCCTTGGGGAAAGGGGAAAATCCATCTCCAAGTTATGGATAAAATTGCTTGGGGTGAAATGCTTAAAAAAAATCATAAGCGCTGAAGTCGTCCTGGGTATGACGATAAACTACATTCAGCAGCAAGCTTTCTGATTGGGAGGTTTTGAGGATCGTGGAACCAACTCTGAATTGCTGGGGTTCCCAACTCAACCGGGTTGGTAGCACCTGTAAGGGTCCCAGCTATGGACAAATGTTATCTGTCAACCTTTAAGTTGAGAACATGACAGTGTTGCAACCTAAGGACGGTTACTGAATAGAATAATCAAAGGTTGGTATTGAACGATAATACTTAGGACAAGAACAACACATAAAAGATTCGCCATCGGCGCATAGAAGTAGTAGTCAACTGCTAGAAGTGTGTCAAGTGAATTCCACAATGAATCTCCAATTGCAGGATATCTACGAACCGACACAAGGCTGAATTTAATGTGGGATATCCGAGCCTGTAAGCTCAGGCAAAAATTCCCCCTAGGCCCCATATAAAATGGGATCTGGTAGCTGTTTCCTGAGATGAGACTCTGTCCTTTGACATAGCCTCGTCTGGGGATCCTCTATGCCCGGAGGTAGAGAGTTTGATCGGAACAGCTGGAGACGAATCTCCAAATACTGACCAACATACAGTATTTACTACTGTATTTATGTGAATGGGGACAGGCCCATTATTGTCCGAAGGTATGCTGCAACACCTAAACTAAAGGTATTTGAAGAATTTATTAATTCTAAATTCTGAATTTTGATGATGGATTCAGGGTACGTTCCATCACTGTTTTTACCCCAAATCTAGATGTGGATGGGCAGGTGGTTCAGAATTAGAAATCTGAGAGTTGAGTTTGGATTCCAGTTGAGCTTGTTACATTTACTTGGAAAGGTATAAATCCACCTCCTCCCCTAGCATTCATTGATAAAGCGACCACCAGATTGAATAAAAAATAGCATGAAAAAAAATTTTTATCATTCATCTTATTAGGAAGTAGAAAACATAAAAATTTATAACTGATTATAATTCATCTCAGATGAGCAAAACAAATAACTTGCCTTCACTAATGTGAAGGGTGATACTGAGATCTGGACTACAGTATGTAGGCCAGGTCTGGTTCAAAGGCAGACATTTTAGAAATTAGCTGAAAAGTGTCCCACTACCAGAGGGCGGTCACACAGTGTTTCTGCCATCTTTTGGTAAAACATGAAATTGCATTTCTTAGGTATGTACTTTGCTTACTCTGATTAACAACGGGCAGTCAGTGATACATTGTAAGACAGAGGATGGGAGCCATGTGAAATTTGATCGGGGGCCATAATTGCCCCGCCCCCCAGAACGGACTTTGAACATGGCTGCGGTAGAGATATCTTCATATTTTCATTTTAAATTATTTTTTAAAATTGTACAGATAATTCGTGGACATCCTGTTTTCTTAAGTAATAGCCATTTCTGGGCCAACCTCGGTGTTTCAAAGAGAAAGAGCAATAGATGAAACGAAACAGCAACTAGAAAAAATAAATTCGGCTTTATCACTGATACATACTATGATCTATGCACCCAGCAATAAATCGTCCTGGGTTTTACAATAAACTACATCTGTCAGCAAGGCCCCTGATCGAGAGGTTTTGATGATCAACGAACCAGCTCTTAATTGCTGTTGCTCCCAGGTCAACGGTGACCAAGGGTTGTAGCACCTGTATGGGTCCCAGCTATGGATAAATAGTGAACCCTCAAAATTGGGCCAAATCATGAAAATATAAAAATATACTAGAAAAAAATGCTAGCAGTATATTTTTTTATAGTAAAAACATTACCAGCAATACATTTGGCGTGGGGGGGGGAAGAAATAATTACCAAAGCTCGAAAGAAAAGAAAATTTCAACACTAAATGACACATAAAGATGTGAAAAGAAATGAAATGAAATCAAAATAAAAACTAAAAAGAGCTGGAAATTGTGGAGACCTATAATAGCCAACACCCTGGAGGGGCATGGCACATAGAAGAAGAAGAAGAAGAAGAAGAAGAAGAAGAAGAAGAAGAAGAAGAAGAAGAAGAAGAAGAAAAAAGAAGAAGAGAAAGAAGAAAAAGAAAATGAAGAAAAAGAAGAGGAAGAAGAAGAAGAGGAAGAAGAGAAAAAGAAGAGGAAGAAGAAGAAGAAGAAAAAAGAAGAAGAAGAAGAAAAAGAAGAGGAAGAAGAAGAAAAAGAAAAAGAAGAAAAAGAAGAGGAAGAAGAAGAGGGAGAAGAAGAAATAGAAGAGGAAGAAGAAAAAGAAGAGGAGGAAGAAGAAGAAAAAGAAGAAGAAAAAATAAGAAGAAGAAGAGGAAGAAGAAGAAAAAGAAGAAGAAAAAAGAAGAAAAAGAAAAAGAAGAAGAAGAAAAAGAAGAAGAAGAAGTGGCTAGGCATAATCGCCATTATCAAGATGGGTCACTGAATGAAATTTGAAAACTCAAGCACGTGGTATTTGCCGATATTTTCAAGTACAAGCTTTGTTTTGATAAAAAAAATTATATGTTTAAATCAACTACTTCCCCTTCTCACCACTAGACCATAATTTATCTGTTAAGGGTCACGGCATACAGACGGATGAAAATGCCCACTCCGAGGAGCTCCTTCCTCGTCCCCAGCAGGAAACACGGTCAGTCGAGCGACCAAGCGCTATCTGTTTTTCCCATCATTCGTCCGGATGTGACTATTTAAGTAGCCTCTTCTGGGCTCCGTGTGGACATTAACTGGTAACTATATGACCTTTGATTCCACTAATATACCACACGTTTGACCTTTGAATTAAGTGTCATTTTTCTTATTCTTTAAACCACAATGGCTCCTTTTAGCGCCATGGTCAAATTCACAGGACTTTACAAAAGGTAATAAAGCCACTAAGACACAAGGGGTTATTGAGTGTGAAGGAAATGAAAAAAATTATTATTAAGGACTGAGAACAATAAAAGAAAAGGAATTAGCATGAAACTTGACTGGAAAGTAAGAAGAGTGAAAGAGAATTAGAAGACTTTAGTGAGGGGAAAGGACAATAAAAGAAGAGGAATTAAGAAGACAGAAGATAACGATTGACATTGCATTGAAATTTTTGAAGATCAAAGTTGACTGGAAAGTAAGAAGAGTGAAAGAGAATTAGAAGACTTTAGTGAGGGGAAAGGACAATAAAAGACGAGGAATTAAGAAGACAGAAGATAACGATTGACATTGCATTGAAATTTTTGAAGATCAAAGTTGATTGGAAAGTAAGAAGAGTGAAAGAGAATTAGAAGACTTTAGTGAGGGGAAAGGACAATAAAAGAATAGGAATTAAGAAGACAGAAGATAACGATTGATATTGCATTGAAATGTTTGAAGATCAAAGTTGACTGGAAAGTAAGAAGAGTGAAATAGAATTTAGTGCGGGGAAAGGACAATAAAAGAAGAAGAATTTAGAAGATAACGATTGACATTGTATTTCAATTTTTGAAAATCAAAGTTGGCAAGGAAAGTACCGATGGTGAAAATGGATAAAATGTGGCACACGGCCGATTTTAATGTGGAGTATCCGAGCCCGTAGGCTCGGCCAAAATTCACCGTAGACCCCGTATAAAACGGGGTCGGGTAGCTGTTTCCCGAGACGAGATTCTGCCCCTCGATACAGCCTGGTTTGGGTAACCTCTCTGCCTGGAAGCAGAGAGTTTCACCAGCATAGCTGTAGACCAACATACAGTATTTACTGCTGTATTTATGTGAATGGGGACATACCCATTATCGCCTGTAGGTATGATACAACAGACATATGCAGGGTGCCCCCCCCCCAAATTGACATAATTTACACTATAACTACAATTCTCAGGAAAACCAAATTAAATCGACTTCATGTTGAACAAGAAAAGATTTATCATAATTTGAACAAGATATTCAAAGGGATGTAGATTATATAACCGATTTAAAAAAGCTTCACAAATGTTTAATATGCGCACCACCTGTAATATGACACACGTCAATTCGGTAGTCCAGCTCCTGCAAAACACGTTGTAGCATGTCTTGCGTAACATTCTTCAGCGTTTCAATGAAAATCTATCAGGATGATGAATCAGGCGTGCCAGTGATAATGACAATATGCTATTGAAATGGCGACCACATTCACCTGACGTTCACATTGTAATTTTTTTCTATGGGGCTGTGTGAAAGGACATGTTTTTATCCCCCTGCTTCCTACATAATATCCTTCTTTTTTGTCCGTTCTTCTTCTTCTTCTTCTTCTTCTTCTTCTTCTTCTTTCACCTTTTTCTTTCCTCTTCTCAATCCTGCATCACTTTCTTTTTCTTCTTCTTTCTTCCTCATCTCAAGTTTTTTACTTTTTCCCTTTTCCTTCCTCTTCTCATTCTATAAGTTTTTCTTCTTCTTCTTCTTCTTCTTCTTCTTCTTTCTTCTTCTTCTTCTTTCAATTTTTCTTTCTTTCTTTCTTTTCTTCTTGCTGTCATTTTCTTTCTTTCTTTTTTTTTAATCTTTTTTCTTTCTTTCTTTCTTTCTTTCTTTTACTTTATCTTTCTTCTTGCTGTCATTATTTTCTTTCCTTTCTTTCCCACCCCCTGACATCTACTCTTTTTGAATAGATTTAATCTTTCTTTCTTTCTTTCTTTCCTTATTTCTTTCTTTTCTTTGGGTTTCCACTTTTTTCTTTGACCTTTCGCACTTTCTTTTTTCCTTTTTCTTTTTGACTTTCTTTCTTTCTTTCTTTCTTTCTTTCTTTCCCACCCCCCTGACATCTATTCTTTTTTGAATAGTTTTAATCTTTTTTTTCTTTCTTTTTTTCTTTCTTTCTTTCTTTCCACCCTCCTGACATCTACTCTTTTTGACTAGTTTTAATCTTCTTTCTTTTTCTTTCTTTCTTTCTTTCTTTCTTTCTTTCTTTCTTTCTTTCCACCCTCCTGACATCTACTCTTTTTGACTAGTTTTAATCTTCTTTCTTTCTTTCTTTCTTTCTTTCTTTCTTTCTTTCTTTCCACCCCCTGACATCTATTCTTTTTGACTAGTTTTAATCTTCTTTCTTTCTTTCTTTATTTCTTTCTTTCTTTCTTTCTTTCTTTCACCCCTGACATCTATTCTTTTTGACTAGTTTTAATCTTCTTTCTTTCTTTCTTTTTTTCTTTTTTCTTTCTTTCTTTCTTTCTTTCTTTCCTTTCCCTTTCCTTCCACCCCCTGACATCTATTCTTTTTTGACTAGTTTTAATCTTCTTTTTCTTTTTCTTTCTTTCTTTCTTTCTTTTTCTTTCCACCCCCTGACATCTATTCTTTTTGACTAGTTTTAATCTTCTTTCTTTCTTTCTTTCTTTCTTTTTCTTTCTTTCTTTCTTTCTTTCTTTTTTTCCACCACCCCTGACATCTATTCTTTTTGACTAGTTTTAATCTTCTTTCTTTCTTTCTTTTTTCTTTCTTTTCTTTCCACCCCTTCTTTCTTTTTTAATCTTTCTTTTTTCTTTCTTTTCTTTCTTTCTTCTTTTCCCCCCTGACATCTATTCTTTTTGACTAGTTTTAATCTTCTTTCTTTCTTTCTTTCTTTCTTTCTTTCTTTTCTTTCTTTCTTTCTTTCCACCCCTGACATCTATTCTTTTTTGACTAGTTTTAATCTTCTTTCTTTCTTTCTTTTCTTTCTTTCTTTCTTTTTCTTTCTTTCTTTCTTTCTTTCCACCCCTGACATCTATTCTTTTTGACTAGTTTTAATCTTCTTTCTTTCTTTCTTTCTTTCTTTCTTTCTTTCTTTCTTTCTTTCCACCCCCTGACATCTATTCTTTTTGACTAGTTTTAATCTTCTTTCTTTCTTTCTTTCTTTCTTTCTTTCTTTCTTTCTTTCTTTCTTTCCACCCCCTGACATCTATTCTTTTTGACTAGTTTTAATCTTCTTTCTTTCTTTCTTTCTTTCTTTCTTTCTTTCTTTCTTTCTTTCTTTCTTTCTTTCCACCCCCTGACATCTATTCTTTTTGACTAGTTTTAATCTTCTTTCTTTCTTTCTTTTTTCTTTCTTTCTTTCTTTCTTTCTTTCTTTCTTTCCACCCCCTGACATCTATTCTTTTTGACTAGTTTTAATCTTCTTTCTTTCTTTCTTTCTTTCTTTCTTTCTTTCTTTCTTTTTAATCTTCTTTCTTTCTTTCTTTCCACCCTTTCTTTTTTTCTTTCCATCTATTCTTTTTTTGACTAGTTTTAATCTTCTTTCTTTCTTTCTTTCTTTCTTTCTTTCTTTCTTTTATTTCTTTCTTTCCACCCCCTGACATCTATTCTTTTTTGACTAGTTTTAATCTTCTTTCTTTTTTTTTCTTTCTTTCTTTCTTTCTTTTTTCTTTCTTTTTTTTTTTTGACTTTTTAATTTTCTTTCTTTTTCTTTCTTTTTTCCGTTTCTTTCAATTTTCTTCTGTTTCTTCATTCTTCTTTCCATTTTTTCTTTCTTTTTCTTCTTTCTTCCCCTTCCTCCCTCTTCTCTATCCATTTCTTTCTTCTTTTTTTTCCTCCGTCTTCTTCTATCCTTCTCAATTTTCTATTTTTTTTCTTTCGTTCTTCCTGTTTCTTCTTCTCAATCCAGAATATCCTTTTTGCCCGTTTTATTCTTCTTCTTCTTCTTCTTCTTCTTCTTCTTCTTCTTCTTCTTCTTCTTCTTCTTCTTCTTCTTCTTCTTCTTCTTCCATCGTTTATTTTTATGTATTTCTTCCTTCCATTTCTCAATTGTCCTCTTTTTTCTCCATCTCCTTCCTCTTCCCAAATCTATAATTTTATTTTTTTTCCTCCTTTTCTTTTCCCGCCCGCTATTTATTTCCGTTTTTCTTTTCCTTTCATCTATATTTGCTCTTCTTTTTTTTTTTCCCGCCCGCTATTTATTCCTTTTTTCTTTTTCCTTCAGCTCCATCATTTTTATTCTTTTTTTTTTCCTTCAGCTCCATCTTTTTCTTTCTTTCTCTTTCCTCCATTTCGTGTTTTCCGCCTTTTCTTTATATTAATCTTTTATTTCCTCTTGCTTTTCTTCGATTTTTCTTCGTCTTGAAAAATCCTAAAAATCATCGGTGCCTCTAAAAGGAAATAAAAGCAAAGCAACAACACAAAACATAAAAAGTCACTAGATGCATTACTTTTGGGAGGATTTTCACTCCGGCTTATCAGCAACTTCAAAAAAACTGTCTTCAAACGTCTATCTACTTTTACCGATGAGTTTAAAAAAACATTTTCTTCATAAGCTAACTTTAAATTATACCAACCTATTTTGTTGTTTTTGGCAACCTCTCTCTCTCTCTCTCTCTCTCTCTTCTCTTCACACACACACACACACAAACACACACATAAACACATACACAAATATATATATTATATTAAAACTATAACTCTGGCGGTGTGAAAAAAGAAAAGATAATACATGTTGTAAAGAAAAAAAATATTAGACAAAAAAATATTTGGGGAAAAAAATTCAATAAAAAAAAAAGACTACAAACATAAGTACTGCTTGAAAAGAAATCAACCATCAACGCTATATCGAACCAAAAG